CACTGAGCTAAATCCCCGGCCCATAAAAATATTACCTTAATAAGAAAGTATTTTAAGAAATACATGGTTTCTGGATCACATGTTAGTTTACTTTTAGCCAGTAAGAGTTGATACGTATTTTTCTGTGATGGTGGGTATGAGTTATTTATTCAGTTTTTTTAGTGTATCCATTTTAGCTCTTGTCTTAACACCTTAAAAGACTCTTCATTTACCTTAAAATAACTTCTTAAATTGGTTTTATGGGCCCACTCCATTAAGCCACTCTAATAATAAACTAGTTGTATTTACATGAACATGTGTTATACTTAGTTCAGCTAATTATTGATTTTGCTTTACTTTTTAGATATTATGATCAGATTTGTGCCATTGAACCCAAATTCCCATTTTCTGAAAATCAGGTAAGTTATTAATTTTGTTTTAAAGTCATATGATAATGGGGTAAGGATTTAGCTCAGTGGAACTGTGCCTGCCTCATAAGTGTAAGGTCCTGAGTTCGATCCCTGGTACCACACAAAAAAAAGTCATATAATTACAAATCACCCATTTCTTTCTATCCATGGTATCATTTTATTGAGATCAGTGATTCTTCTTTTACTACCTTTAAGCTTTCATAAGATGGTTTTATAGAAATTAGAAGTTTTTAGGTCTGCCTGAGAGGAATCTTTTTATGGAGAATCTCCTGGAATTCTATGCATGTAATTCTTACTAGTCTCTTCTGGGGCTCACATAGAGCATAGGACTATTTTATATCTGTAGAGGATCTAGAGATTAATATGACCTGCTATGTCCTTCCTCTTGACTTTCACAGAATTAAGAAGGAAACTATATAGTTTAGGAATTACTGCAAATTACATATGCATATAAAAGTTGCAAATGCTGTTACGATTGATGTTATGTTACAATAATGTCAACTTTGTGTCCTTCTAAAGTCTAGTTATTGAAAATGCAGATTATTTCTTACAGATTAATTTGATATTTGGAAGACTTGATAAAACTTGGTAAAAGGTACATTAAGACTTTCCCACTGAGCTATATCTCCAGCCCCACCTTTTAAAAAAAAAATTATTTATTTTGATGGGCCCGGGATTTAGCTCAGTGGTTTGACCGCCTGCTGCACAAGTGCAAGGACCCGAGTTCAATCCCCAGTACCAAAAAAAAAAATTATTTATTTTGAGACAGGATCTCACCAAGTCTGGGATCAAACTTGTGATCTTCTTCCCTCAGTCTCCCAGAATGCTGGGTTTATAGGCCTATGCCACTGTGCTTTGTTCTGATAAGTTTTTATAGTATGTGGTACTTCTAAATTTCAAAACAGTCTAAGAAAAGTACTTTAAACATTTTTATACTAAAATTTTTGTAGGTGAATTAGTTTTGTATTGAGATTTGCTTTAAAATGCACCAGGAAGAAAGGTGTATGTGGATGGGTGATGGAGTGGAGGGGAGCTGGGGAGTACAGGAATCAAGAGGAGCAAAAGACTAAAGCTACTGATAGTATGTAGGAGTTTATTGTGTTAATGTTTGTATTTTTGTGTATGTTTAAAATTTTTCCTATTCTAGAGTTAGAATATCTTTTTGTGTTTGGATATAATAATTTAAATGAGGTGAAGTTATTTTATGTAAGTATGTATGTATTTTTGTGGAACTGACTGGGTATAGAATTCAGAGCCTTGAGCATGCTAAGCAAGTACTCTATCACTGAGCTACATCCCTGAGTTGTGAAATTCTTTTAACTTTAATATATAATA